TCAGAGCCAGCCAGATGGACACTTAGCATATTAGCCTTTTATATACTAGTATATAGATTATTTTACGGATATGAAACGGGGAGATGAAATTCTCCCACTTACACGGCTACCCCAGAAGTATGTAAAATCTGACACCCATTCACCTAGACCAAATCTCAGAACTTGAAGGGTGGGTACTCAATGAGATCAAACAGCTACTGAATAAGTCTCTGACCTGCAAAATGAGAACGAAGTAGTCTACAGGTTTGTTGCGCTGGTAGAGGTAGTATTCTGGGGCTTTCTTGTTCTTCTCATCATACTTCAGTTCCTGGATGACATTGGGGTGCTTTAGCAGCCTTAGAAGGATCTTCTCTGACATCTGGGATGGGCTAAATGCTTCTACTTCTACAGATATAAACACAACTTGACATTACACTTCAAATGGACAGAAAATATTAGACTAGTGATTAAGGTATTTGGGTAATAATACTTGGAATTAAAGTGATGCAATATGGATTAACGAGACTTCCGTTTGGTGATCCACTGGGGGCAGATTACCTGGGAGAAATTAGAAAATGCTGCATTTTCATATTTGTTTCTTTAAAATTCTTCCTTTTCAATCTGTCATTGGTTTTAGTTCTCATAAGAACACTCTAATTTTCTGACTGATACAAATGAAAATCAACCAGAAGCAGGCTCCTTGACTGCCAGGATGTCCTTCAACAGCCACAACAGCCTGACTGTCTAACAACAGCCAAAGGAAGAAGCAACAGTCAGGAAGCATCTAGCTGTGGGTTAGTACCAGGTGCACAACGCAGTGCCCCACATCTCCATCTCCCATTCAACTGCCCTGAGAAAAGTCTGGGAACGAGGGACACGGAGAGACTCAGGGTAAAAGCAAGGCACGTGCGCACATCAACATGCACTCCAACTTGCTAATTTAAAAAGTTATGTTCATCTATATTTACAAAGACATACATTTTATTTAAGATAAAAGCCAAATTACTGATGTAAAGGTGTTATTCTGAAACTGGACTTGACGGTATCTCAGAGGCAGAGTAGGATAACATTTCGTTTTAAATTGTGGTTCTTGGGTGATGAAGACGAATATCACAATTAGAGAAAGAATAAGCAAGGAAGTTAGAAATACTGCTTATAGGTTTTTTAAGTGTTTTAAATGATGTTATATATGAAAAATATAAATTCTGTATTAGCTTCTGTGTTTTGTAATAACAAAATTAGATAGTACATTGTAGAAATTTTGGAAAATACAGAAAAAGACAAAGAGGACAATAGTGACCTATAAACCAACCACTGTGAGCAACTGGTGATGAGCACTTCCTCCCAGTACCTCGCCTAGGCCTGTGTCTGCACATGTGTGTACGTCCAAAAAGACTATCACCTTCCTGTACACACAGACTTATATCCTGTTTGTCCTCACTCTACATTAAATTATGAGTATTTCCCCATGTTGTAAATATTATATTGTGAGCATTTCCATGATCTGAAAACATGATTTTAAAAAGTGCACAACATCCCCTCATGTGGCTGTTGTTGGCCTTCTTTTCAAAATATTCTAAGCGTACTGCCCGCAGTTGGAAGGTGCTGGCTGCCCATCTTGGACACAGACGTCTTCTACACAGGTCACGGGGTACGTTCAGATTTTCTCTCACTTCCCCTGACCAACAGAGCTCAGCCTTTACCTACAGAGCCACTGGGGATGTGAGAAGGGTTAGTCAGTCTCTTAAGTTCATTCAACCTTGACCTCTATGGAGCAGTCAGTGCCGGCTGGGTTGGTGTTTTTAACAATGTGCACATTTGCCTCCTGGAATGGGCCCAAGTTAATAATCTGATTTGAAGAGGCCATCCAGAAATCCCTATCAAAGTTCTCAGAATTTCTGATTTCATTCAATCCGAAAGATTTCACTTTGAAAATCTATTTTTCTTCTTTGTAAGTCATAGCACCTGTGTTATCACGACATCCACTGTTCCTCCAAGGCAAGCTGAAGAGAGAATTACTCAGCTGTCCGACACACAGCGAGGTGGTGTCTGGCTCACAACTGTCAGCCTACTCCGCCAGCTGGCGCTCCCAGGGGCTTAGCTGGAAGCAGAGGACCTGGCCTACTGTTCACATGCAGTGTGGCACTAACATTCATCCTTACCTTTCAGACCAATTTAAGTTACTGGTCCACCTGGTAAATGTCTCAGAGAGTTCATGCCGACACTGAACATAGGAGAGGAGAGAATTTAAAAAGAAAAAAACAAAACTAAAACAAAACACAAACGTGGCGTTACTTTTCACCCCATTTCCCAGTCTCCACCCCAGCCCACCCCAGTCAGCGGTGGGTGAGAAACACTCGCTTCGGGGTTGGTAGAGATTTCAAACTGTGATAAGTTGCACTTGCCTGTTGCTAGGAAACGGTGCATGGCCAAGAGAAGCTGTGGTGATATTTTAACCTTCATCTCGCTGTCTGTCTGCTTAAAGGCAGAAAAATCTTGCTTTCTTTCACGATGGGCCACTTTCTTTTTCGTTCTGTTATCCGCTGAGGAAAGAATAAGAAAAAGGTAAGCAAATGCATTTCATTCTAGATCAGGGCCCTTTTTCAATGAGAAGAACAAAATATACTGCAAAGGCGAGAATTAGTCAACTGTCCAACGCACAATTCTCTCCAGATTGCGGGCACTCTACGCACAAACACCACATGGAAAGAGGACAGAAGAGAGAATCTCATCATATCAGTGCCGCGCGGTCCGAACGGCAATCCAGCATCAGTAACAGGCAACCTGATTAGTAGCAACGACAAATATACCTCATGGTATCTTTAGAGCCCTTACAGGTACCTGACTGGGCAGCCTCGAACAAAACCCTCCCCACATAAAACCTATGTAACCCATAGCAACCGAGGATGTAGCCTAGGGCGCATAGTCTCCTGCTCCTGTGTCCCTGTTACAGAAGACACGAAGGAAGTGTGTCCCTGCCTTGGACAGGCTCCTAGCCTGTGCTGAAAGATGAAACAAATATCTGAGCACAATCTCTTAAGAAACAAACCAAAACACGTTCATAGAAAAGCACTTTAACAGTAACATCTGTAGCCCTGGCCAGCGTGGCTCAGTTACTTGAGCACTGTGCTGTGCACCGAAAGGTCACTGGTTCAATTCCCAGTCAGGGTGCATGCAGCAGGCAACTGATTGATGTTTCTCTCTCACATCAAAGTTTTTCTCTCTTTCTCTCTCCATTCCCCTCTCTAAAAAAAAATCAAGACTTTTTTTTAAGTAACATCTGCTAGCTTCATTTCTACCCAGATCCCAAGATCCTCAAGGTCAAGCAAAAATGAAGAAAGTGATCCAGAACACAACTCAGCAAACTTCCTCTGTAAAGGACTAAATAGTAAATATTTCAGGCTCTGGAGATCACGCAGTCTCTGTTGCAACTACTAAACTCTGCTATTTAGCAAAAGCTGCCATATTGAATGAATTGGAATGGTTGTGTTCCAATAAAACTTTATCACAGACATGAAATTTGAATTTCATATCATTTTCACATGTCGCAAACTAATTATTCTTATTTTTTTAACACAATTTTAAAATTCGTTGCTTGTGAGACACACGAAAACAGGGAACAGGCACTCGCAGACTATAGTTTGCCAACCCCTGATCTAGAAGGTCTAATGCAAAACCTGTCTTCACGTATTTTTCTGGACAAAATAATAATCAAGAAAAACACTAGATTAAAGACAAGGCCTCAAGTGCTTGCTCCTTTCCCCAAAATCAAAAGTCTTTGCACTACCATTTCTAGTCTAGGGCGAAACAGATGGCTTACTAGGCTTGTTTTGGGGAGAAAATGATCACAACTTATACTTAAGTTCTTCTTAAGAATCAGACAGTATAAATCAACACAAAGATGTAAAATAATGTTCAAATGACAAAAGTCATCATCTCTGATCACCTATTTAATCAATATACAGGAAACCACATGTTCAGCATTTCATATCAGTAAGTTACATTAGACAACACTTTTGTATGAAATCAATCTAACCAACATTTGAAAAAAGTTCACTCAAGTACAAATAGAAGATCTCATAAATGTCTACACTACCTTTCTTATGATGAGTAAGACCCCTGGGGAAACACATAAATACACAAATACACACTTGGTATTAACAGTCACTGTGAGGAACAATGAAAAATATGTAGACACGCATGACAATATTCTGTATTATGTGACCTCTGACTACTCTCCAAGTGTTGAAACCACATCGACACTGGAGTTTTTTAAGAACACTATAGAGATGTGAGGGGAAAATAAGATACTTCTCAGAAGCAGGTCACTGGCTAATTATAAAATCTATTCTTTTAAAGGGTATGTGGGAAACTTTCTCAATTTTAAAATAAGGGACATTCAGTTCTAGTGGAACTGAATCAAATCACTTTGCCCCGAGTGCCTCAGGCCATTTGAATGACCCGTTCCAATCGTGTTTCAAAAACCAAACGGCCGGCGCCCGGCTCTTTCTCTATCCCACCTTTGAGACCCCAAACATCTCAGGCCTTGGGACACCTTTGGCAAGAGTGAGGCTGAGCAAGGTTTAAGCTGCACAGTCTGACGATCCAGTTGTGGACTCAGATAGAACAGGATTCAGGTTCAACCCTCAGCCCAGGATCCAGCCTACTCCTGGGCCAACAGTGTGAATGCTCCCCTCCCCCGCCCCTGGCACAGGCTACTCCTCACCCCACCCCAAAGGAACGGAGAAGCAGAAAAAGGGAAAAACACATTTTATTGTGTACCCCACCCTGTCCTGCCTCCTATACCCCACCTCACCACCACTGCCCCAGCAAAACCACACTTGCAAACCTCACCTCTACCCTCATCTATCAGAGCTAGAAAATTTAAACCATAGCTATTCGTCAATAAATCCCCTCACTTTTTAAGTACTTGAACTATGACCTTAAGTAGAAACAGAAATTTATCTTAAAACAATTTATCTAATTGTGCAAAATGAATTTTCTGGTCAGGCCAAGTAATGCCCAGACGAATGGCTGGAATCAGCTGGCTTTTCAAAAAAAGAAAGAAAACCACATTGCCACTTGATATTACAGGACCTACCCTGTTTGCCCCCCTCTGGTGATGAGACTGGATACACCGACAGGTCGCACACAGCCTACACACATAGTGCATAATTGGAAACAGGTGGACAACAACTGGAGAGATGTCAAATGACTCACAAACAACATGATCAAGAAAGCAAAGGTTTGGGGAAATTACTCTCAGGCAAAGCTACTCACTGTATAAATCTGTTTCATCCAGAATCTCCGATTTGATGATTTCTTCAATCACATCTTCTAAGGTGACAATTCCCAGGACTTCATAAAATGGATCCCCCTCTCCCTCATTGTTAACTCGCTGCACAATAGCCAGGTGAGATTTACCTTTGAAGGGAAGAAAGCAAAGTTTAAGAGGAAATCTTCTGAATTTCCTGAATAAAGTCTTAGGTATGATTATGGGGGAAAAACAGCAGCAAACACAAATACCAGATGATCAAAGTGTGCAGTTCAACATTTTAAAATGCATGGAAACACCCCAAACGGAAACGGTTCGTGAACCATCAAAAGCAAGACCAGGTAAGCCAGAAGAATATCACCGTCTACACACACTGCCCTGCCCCCACATTACCACCCAGTTCCTAATAGAATTGTCTTCAGTGATGTCAGCTCTTCCTCTGTGACCTTTTGGCAATTGCCACTTTACTTTAGG